TGGGACTCAAACCCACAGCCCCGAGGTCAAGAAACACACTCCAACTGAGGCAGCCAGTCGCTCCATGTTATGTGTATTTTAACACAACAAAATGGGGCGCCTGGGTGGCTCAGTCGTTAAGCAACTGCCTTCGGCTCAGGTCACGATCCCAGGGTCCTGGAATTGAGCCCCGCATTGGGCTCCCTGCTCGGTGGGGAACCTGCTTTTCCCTCCGCCTGCTGCTCCCCCTGCTTGTGCTCCCAATCTCTGTCAAATAAATTAAAAAAACTAAATGTTTAAAAAAACACACACAATAAGAAAAAAATGTGAGACTATAGGACACAAATGGGGTACACAGTCCTCTCCTCTAGGGCAGAGTCCCAAGGCCAAGTTCTTCAAGGGGAAATTCTGTTCCCCCCACCCTATGGCCCATGACATCTGGATGAGCCCTTCTCTTAAGAAACCCTGCTGTCTGAAGTCCCCAGTCCCCCCGTGGAGTAAGTGGTCCCTGAAGGGAGCCAGGTAGGCCTCTCATCAGGGGGGACCCTGCCACTTGTAGGGGAGGGGTGGCTGCAGACATCAAGAGCCTTGGTTAGGGATGGCCCTTGGCACCTGCGCTGTCCCCAGCAACCGCTATGGGGTGTCCAAGAGCTGTGCCTGGCACTGCCTGCCGCTGCGGGAGAGGCCCTAGAACAGAGGTTCAGCTGTCTGCTCCCAGCCCACTTCCCTGCTGGCTGAAGGGGGCTGAGCCACCTCCCTCAGAGCCCTGGCCCGTCGCCCATGGGGTAAATTGTTTACTGAGCTCCCTGTGGGGTCTCCAGATTGGGGAAGGGCCAGAGGCCAGGGAGGACAAAGGGAGTCGGGGACAGGAGGACCTGGCACCTGAGACGCTGTCAGGCTGAGCCCTTTTTTGTAGATCCTGGGGCAACCCCCAGGAGCTCAGTAGCAGCTGTTTTGCAGGGAGGTGCCGGTCAGGGTTCCCGAGTGCACCCTTGTCTACTCAAGAATATATGCCTGATCCTGCCCCCTCTCTACCCTCCCAAGTACTTAGATAACCTTGACCATCAATACCACATCAGGATCATGAGCTGAGCTTGTACTTTCTCTGCCTCTTCACTGTGTGACCTTGGATAAATCACTTAGTTGCCTTCTCCTGGCTGTAAAGTGGGGGCAGTGGTAGTAGAGACACCCCACAGGGCTGGGATTGTGTGCGTTCAGCGGACTAACATGCAGTGCTCAGAGTGAGTGTGGCACTCAGGAAGTCCTCAGCATGCCAGCATTCACCACCATCATCATCATCACCATCACCTGCTTCACCACCTTCACCACCATC